CCAGTCCAGACCCTGTAGTCAGTACATAGCATGTATTAGACCAGTCCAGACCCTGTAATCAGTACATATCACGTATTAGACCAGTCCAGACCCTGTAGTCAGTACATAGCATGTATTAGACCAGTCCAGACCCTGTAGTCAGTACATAGCACGTATTAGACCAGTCCAGACCCTGTAGTCAGTACATAGCACGTATTAGACCAGTCCATGCCCTGTAGTCAGTACATAGCACGTATTAGACCAGTCCAGACCCTGTAGTCAGTACATATCACATATTAGACCAGTCCAGACCCTGTAGTCAGTACATAGCACGTATTAGACCAGTCCAGGCCCTGTAGTCAGTACATAGCACGTATTAGACCAGTCCAGGCCCTGTAGTCAGTACATAGCACGTATTAGACCAGTCCAGACCCTGTAGTCAGTACATATCACGTATTAGACCAGTCCAGGCCCTGTAGTCAGTACATAGCACGTATTAGACCAGTCCAGGCCCTGTAGTCAGTACATAGCATGTATTAGTTGTTAATAGCTCTTTGTTTACCTCACACTTTCAAGTGTGCACATAACTGGAGTAACATAAGAACATTAAATTTGCATGTAAACCACACAGAGCTTGCATGTAGACCATACCAAAAGAGCATGAACTCTTTCACTCACACATCAGAAATGACGAGTCTGGAATTTTTTCATTTGTGTATGAAATCATTAATTTATAATATTTTTCTGATAAATTTCTGAACCCAATAACCCACAAGTATACAATCCACTCAACAGAACTCCAGCATTCGGTTGCAAGTTTGACCTAATGTCATTAGCTGGCAAAGTTAACAGTCCGAAAATATATTTGTTAGTTGAGGGCAGATATCACACGTTATCTGTAGAAACTAGCTAGGGTCGTGCCCCACAGTGTGATATATACTGCGCTATGACCTGAGAGCATTGCATTATAGAATAATATTTACACATCAGTGTTTCCCCTGCCCAAAAAGGTCCGTGAGGTGGTAAATATTTTTTGGTGTGTTTGCGCATTTCGAGGCCCTAGCAAAGCGAGCACCGCAGGTTTTTGACAAAATGTGCAATTTTCTACATTCTAAGCTATTTTGGTGCATTATACGCACTGTTCTAATGGAAGAACATTGATTTTCGTCAGCAAGGCAGTGTTTTGGACAAATTTATGTGTGGCGGCTGAGAATTTTAGCGAGGTGGCCCGCCTCGCTCGTGTCAATTCAAGGGAAACACTGCACATAGTTTCGTTTGAGAGCTGCCGTCCTCTCCATACCTTAAAGAATGGATGTTTTTGAATGTCCTCAAAGCCATTAGGTCCGGAACCTAACCGCTCACTTGGATATTTTGTCAGCAACTGCGACATGAAAGCTTTAGCCTCCCAACTCATCTTGGACGGGAATGGTGGGTGAGATTTCAATATCCTCCTAACAAAACAGAATTGAAATACAGGTAGGAATCGTTTTACGACAGGGTTAGGTTCCAGTAAAACAGGGTCGTAAAATGAAAAGTCATAAAAGAAGACCAAATTATAATGCAATTAAATGCTATCATTCCACCCGCAATGGATCACGAATGAAAGTGTCAATGACACTGTAGGTCACCTTGGGTGTGATAGACGAGGGAGTGGGGATATATAAAGCAAGAGTATATATGGGAGAACTCCCATCAGGGAAAAAAATACACGGGAGCGATGAGCGATTCGCTCTTCAAACCTCCGCTCCCGTGAGGCTCAAAATAGCTCCCGTAAAATTTTTGATGAGAGCTACTTTTTCCAGACTTGAAAAAGAGCTCCCGTGGAAAAAAAAATTATTTTTTCCCTGACTCCCATTATATAGCATATCTCCCATTATATACTCTTCAGGGGTAGAAATGAACTTTTGAACAACGGACTCCCTACCCTCAAAAAGAGGGAGTCCGCAGCAAAATGAGGGAGTCTGCAGTCTGACGTTCAAAATTAAAGATATTAACAATAACGCATGTTATGTGCTTATTTTTAAGATTCATGCAGTTGCACGTGTGCCAAATTTTCTTTGGACATTAGCTGAAATGAAAGTGTCAATGAATGACACTGTAGCTCACCTTGGGTGTGATAAAAGAGGGAGGGGGGATATATAAAGCAAGAGTATATATGGGAGAACTCCCATTATATAGCATATCTCCCATTATATACTCTTGATAATGATATATGCACAAGTTTTGATGTGAAAATAAATGTTTCAGATCTGAAAGTCTGAAATCTTGACGAGATATGGCGCTACGCCTAAATGATCACCATTTTGGTTTTCGAATATCGCGCAAAAAAAACAATAAAATATTCCAGTCAAATTACTGTAATGAAGAATCTAAAACACAATATTACACGTATATAGGTATGATTGTAGAGTTGTTAACCAGTTAGACGAAATAAACATAATAGGACGTTGTCATCTCTCCCATATGAGTAACAACTGTTTTGGGGCTAGCCTTACACATTCACATACCAAAATTTAACAAAATCGAATGACTTTAGATGGCCATTTTCATTTTTGCCAAAAAGTGGGTGTGGCTCCAAAGTAGCTCGACTGGTGTGCTCCAAAATAGGACGTTCAAACCTCTCCCATAGGAGTAACAACTGTATGCAATTTGAAACATGTGGGTCAAACGGTTCTCAAGTTATCGTTGACCTTAGCCAAATGTTGACGGACGGACGGACAACGCCCCATGGCAATAGCTCATCTTGACGATGTCAAGATGAGCTAAAAATGAAAGAAGCACATATTGTGTGTTTGGACTCACAGACGTTGCTGCGATGTGTTATTGAGCTGCAATTTTTTTTTTTTCAATTTTTTAGGTAATTTTGAAAAGGTTGTTAATGTGAAGTCGTAAAATGGACCATCATAAAACGGGACCTACCTGTACTGGATGAATGGTAAAGTATGAACTACTCACCTGCTTTAATGTTACTTGATGTGAATGGCTATATTTACTCCAAGTGCTAGGCTGTATTTACTTTTGACAATAGGATAGCTCAACTGAGTACCATACTGTTTTCACCATGTTACATTTCAGTAGAAAATATATGTAACACTCCTTAAAATGGTGAATAGTCAGACAAATTAGATTACTGCTGGAAAAGCTGTATCACTAGGATTTTCAGTCTACGAATATGATATCACCTTGTAATACAATTATTAATAACTCTTTCTTGATGCCATTAAAGCCATAGGTAAGGGAGAAGACTTCATTCTACATAACACTGAAATACTCTGACATAATCTGGTAGGCATATCAATAAACACAGTGAAACTGAGTGAATACCTTGGAAAAATAAATCTAATGTTCTATGCGAATATTCGTACAAACTCAAATATGGAGCGACCCAAGTGAAACCAAGATGCCTCACCTTGAAACGTCTATCTGTTCATTGGAATCCCCATCAACCGTGAACGGTGAAGCTCCTGTGATCAGCTCGTATGACAGAACACCTAGACTCCACCAATCGATGGCCTGTATAACCACGCATAATGCATCATATGCCATATGTATAAACTACACCAAAACTCCCTCTGAATCGACAATACAGGTCAGGTCTCAAACTAAAAATATCAACAATAATTTAGGCCACGTTTCACTGAAACATTTGTTGTTAATATTTTCGTTAACCCTGATTAAAGTTAAGTGTAAGATAATTACAGTTTTGCCAATGATGTAGTTCGTGGCATATACATACCTTATCATATCCAGAGTGCTCTCTCTTAATGAGTTCAGGCGCCATATATTCAATCGTTCCACAGAAGGAGTAGGCTCTGTTGTTCTATATAACATATTGTGAATTAATGATAACAATAGTTAGAACCATGCTAGGTAGATTTCAGAAGTCCCCACACTATGTCAGCATTGGAGCACATCAATAATTAGTATATTATATATAGGCTTACAACATAGTACATCAAGTTTAAATTAAAAAATTCCTTGCTAACTGTTTTATACATTTAATATGAACGTAGTTATATTTGAGCCATATTTGACAAATGTCTACCCATCCTGCACTGTTTCCGCAGCCCAGTGCTTGTGGTTATCACAAGCTTCATGGTCCTTAAAAAGCCTCCACGTTTATTCACTTCTTCAAAACTGTTAAAACCTAAGTTTGTGAACCTCTACCTACACCAATCTGTACTACACAAGTAAATACATGTAATACGCTGTATTACACGAGTATATACATGTAAAACGTTGTATTACATGAGTAAATACATGTACAACCTTGTATTACATGAGTTTCATATATATATATATATACACATCTGTGCAAAATTATATTACTCTTGTACATACATCTGCGGGTAGCAATTCTTTACTGAGCCCAAAGTCAGTGACGACGATGTGCCCGTCAGTGTCAAGCAAGATATTTTCTAACTTCAAATCTCTGTAGATGATCCCAAGCTATTAAATACAAAAGTTATAATGAAAATAATAATAAAAATTTAAATACTTGCTCAAGAAATGACACACCATCTCCCCCAAATCAAAAATTCGAGGTCAACTGTCAATGTTGATATACAACCACTTGAGTAAAATATAAATAATTAAGTACCTCTGCACAATACTGAGAGGGAGTTCATATACTAAAAGAAAGAATTCAATTTAAAAGGAATTACATGTGCTTAATTAAATGGTTTATAGCTTGCCTTATTCACTGTTTAACATCCGTATCGTCTGTATCGAGATACGGACGCAGCGTATCGATTATCCTATCCTATTAGCTGCTGTATCGCGATTCACCGATGTATCGGTGAATCATTACACACCTAAGTATTACTGTACAGTTTAGTAATGCTGTTGAAGGGTGTAAATATCATTTAGTAATGGTACATGCCTTGTGGAGGTGATTGAGGGCTAGAGCAATCTCTGCTACATACAGTCTGACCTCGGACTCCTCAAAGTGTTCTCGATGGTACAAGTGTGTGAAGAGTTCTCCACCATTCACGTAGTCTGCAGACAAACATGGTGACGTAGTTAATCCGGGCCTCTTACACACAATCAGCACAACGTGTGATCACTTAAAACATGTTGTTCTGACTTGAAATTGAAGTTATATTTAAGTCATGCTAAATGCATTTCATTTTCAGAAAAAGATTCTTCAATAATGAAACAAGCTGACGCTGAGAAAGTACTGAAGCTCATATGACCGAGAATTTAAAGAATATAAATTCAACATGTGTCCACCAACATTCCATGGCTCATGCAAGCTTGATTTGGCTGAACGTTTCATTTATCATGTTTATCTGACAGAAATGCAATGATTTTCAGCCAAATGGGATCACCTGACCAGGCAAACCCATATTCACAGTTTTAATATACTAAACACATGTAAATGACTTAGAAGACAACAACTTGCTACTTCTTACTGTTTTCAGTAAACCAAAATTAAGATCTCAGTTTAATATCCCTTAAGAAAATGGGTCAAGCTGAAGTCATCTAAGAAAGACATTATTTTGGGTGTTATTAAGATAATAGGTGCTATAGTTTACAATACAATGTTCACGTTGTAGAGCTATCTCACTTCGCTTAAGTTTAGCAAATACTCACATACCTAGTATCAGATGTAACTTGGCGTCCGTCTGAAATGCATAGTGAAGATTGACTAGGAATGGTGACTCTCGCACCGCTTCTAAGACACTACGTTCAGTCATCGTGTGTTCAGTCGTCTTCACTTTTTGAACAAGAGATGCCTTCTTTAGCACCTGTTTGACATCCGAATTAAGATTTGGTTAGTTAGTCTTCATAACAATCTTACCAACTTTCACCAGGCAGGGGCGTGTACAGGGGGGGGGTCCAGGGGGTCCGGACCCCCCCCTTGCTCGCGCAGAAAACGTATCTAAGGGGGTCTAATTTCAAAAATTTTCTGTGGGAGGGCCCCCCAGACCCAAGTGCTCGCAAGTTTGGGTTACGGTTAGACCCCCTCCCCCCCTGGTACAAATTCTGTACACGCCCCTGCCAGGCCGAGGCTTCATTTCCACCAGAGGGGCGTGTCTATCGAGCTTTGGATTTGCTGCCTCACATAGAAATTCTCACAGTAGAATTGCTGCGGACTGAGTGTCTAGTGAGCACATGATGAGACGACTCACATAGCCATACTACTGGCTGCAGTCAAACCGGTAGTCTTTGAAAAGGATGAACACTAATGTAGAAATGTGCCGAGAGGTAAGGAAAAAATAATCCAGCTTCGCTTATTTTTCGTGAGTTTTTCTGCATTCAGATCCTAACATTCATAAAGAAAAGAATGCATTCTACATCTCTGAGCTTATTCTGCAAATTATTCATGGCCTGCGCTCATGGTAAGACATGTTGACAGCTCATCTCCAAACTGTCAACTGATGAGAAATACTGATTTATTGGCTACATAATATTTATATGCATACATAATTTATGCGCATACTTGTCGTACATGTAATGGCCGTGTAATTTTTGTGTTAAAATCCACAGTAGAACATCTACATAACTACCTTCATTGCATAGAGACAACCACTGTCACTTCCACATATCTTGCGCACCAGAAAAACCTTTCCATATGCTGAAAAGATATATAGTACCAATATGACTGCAAGTTATTAGATATTATATATAATTATTATGTAATTATTATTCATATATATTATAAGTTATTATTTATAATGTTTATTCATGGTACTTACCTAGGTATATACCCTATACATATTTTACATATATGTCACTTCATAACAATTCATGTTGTGTACAAACTGTTATATTACATTTTTTAATCATCACACACAACATACATATATATAAAACATTAATAAAACCGGTGCACACACGTTATATTACAATATAACATTACAAAAATGAAATGATTACTACAATGTGCAATAGGGAGAAGTTACTATGCACACATTTGCAGTAAATAAAAATGAACTTATCATCATATGAAAATATAAATTAACGAAAATACTTACCACCTGTTCCTAATACTTTGAGAAGCTCAAAGTCCTGCATTTTAACTTTCTTCTTCTGATCTCTGAAGTTAACTTTGCAAAGAACAAAGAAATAGAAAGTACATCTCTGGTTCAATACCACAATGTGAGAATGTGCACTTAATTAAATTAAATGTTTATGCTTATAATAACAAGAGGTATAAATGCAAAGTAAAGTGTGAGTGCAAGTTGGATGTACAACACTACTTTTGATAATAAAACTTACTTATATATTTTTTATTTATTTATTGAGTTTCAGTACTCTTGAGTATTAAAAGATCTAATACTATTAGCGCCGATAGTGATTTTTGGGATAGTGTGTTACATCCTGTACTGGCTGTGCACAACCTACGCCACCTCCACACTCCACCCATGCCACATTTCCTGCAACAATGGAAGCGCTTTCATCACATAGTAAAATAGTTGGTTTAAAATGTTTTAACTTGGTTTTCTCGAGAGGCAGGTCATCTAGGCACATGAGTTGGCCAACCTCCAGACGGGTAAACTCGACACGCGGGTCGGGTTTGCCAGTGAGGGAAGTTCACTACGAACCGGTTGTGTGCAGGACCGAACATACTACCCAATTTTTGTATATTAAATACAATTTCTCCCATTTATATATTGCCAATCAAGGCTATCAAGAGATTTTTGCAGGGTTTTACAAATGAAGTGGCTCGTGCTCCAGTAACCGGACCATGAATCAGTGCCCCGGCAATCCCAGAATGCACTGCAAAGTCATTAAAAAGCATTTCTCAGCGCAATAGAAAATGGCGGCACACAAACCGTGTTTTTTTGTTGGGCAAAAGTGTACGCCTGTGTTTTTGGAGGAAAACGGTTCATTACAAGAGGCACAGGAAAGTCAAATTTGAATTGTGATTGAAAAAGCATGACTTGACATTGGGCGAGACCATGACTTTGCAATGCATTCTGTGATTGCCGGAGCACGAGCCAAAAGAACTCCCGGTCCGGTTACCGGAGCACGAGCCAATGGAGCCACTGCCTTTTACAAATCCGGACTGAGTGCTAAACTAGCCTAGAGGCTTGCGAGCCGAGCCGAGGCTTGTTCCCTATGATAGGATAGGATTGGGCTAGCTCTAGTACTATAGCCGCTTACATTAACTGCCGCTGGGCTATAGACCGACCCATGGGGCATGCGATGGACCAACTTATCCCCGATTATACCCGACTATAAAACGTCTGTGGTAGGCAATTAATGCCTCTTATCCGAAGTGAATATGTCTTAAGTTATAGCCGCTAATAAAATTGAACCTCTAACTATCGTTGCAATGGTATACTTGCGGTATTTCTTGTCAACAAACATTCGATTTGCGAACTTCAAACGGTCATTTCTGGCGGCGCTGCAGCAGCGCCAGTCAGCGGGAACTATGTATTTCCACGTGTGGAGGGGTGGGCGGGTTA